CTGAAAATTAGTTTTGCTTATTGTATGAATGCCTTCCATACTGCTTTATTAGGTGATAAAAGAAGTTTAAAAATGATAAAAGAGGTTGTTGATACTGTAAAAAAATTAAGAAACATTCAATGATTAATGACTTCTTTTCATTTTTATTTATTTCATTAAAATTCATTTATTTCAATCCTTCCATCATTCATTTATAAACAATTTTGTATATTATTTAAATAATAAATAGAATTCATTCATTCATTCATTCATATAAAAAAAATTAATTTATATAGAATATAAATACACATTTAATAAACAATATAAAATAAAATATTTTATAAACAGAAATCTTCTATTTGAATAAATCACATGATTTGGATACGGGTTCAAGGAAATCATGTGATCTATAGCATTTTAGTCCAATTCTTTCTCGGCTGATTCTTTTTTAAGTTCTCTACTAAAACTTGTTGTCCAATTTTCAATAGTTTTATTTTTTGGTAACTCATTTGCATCCAACTCATCTGCTTCTCTTTTGTTTTAGAATTGTTTCAGCTGTGAACTTATTCTTATCTACATTTCCTAACAAAAAAACAGGCTCTTTTACCTACTCAGACATGTGTTTACTTCCCACCATGCTTTCCAAAATTTCCTTCTCGCGAAGAGCCAAATCCAATTCAAAGCTATTCATTCTAGAACTTTTAAAATTCCCACCTAGAAAATGCTTATATTCCTATTTACAGTTCACTCGGACTATTTGGACTAGTATTAGGAAAAAAGTCCGTTATATAGACAATAATATGGTGCAGATCATCTATAATCATTAATTGCTTATAGTAACAATTGGTCAACTTCAAAATACTAAAACAAAAAAAAATTATATCATTTTAAAAAATTTAACCGATAAGTTTTATTGTTCATGACTCAAGCTTCAAAACTTATCGGCTGGTTTTTTCTTAAACTGAAAATTGGCATAGCCTTAGCATTTTGAAAATTCCGAATTTTGTTATACATTTAAGAAATTGAGGCTAAGTTGATGCCCCTTCCAAAACCCAGATAAGCGGAAGTATAAATACCATACTTTTAAAACATCATTATTTTCATTGGGAATATCATTAATTGACATATTTTTGTTTGTCACATATTTATGAATAGATATTCCAACAGCAGCCCAAATGAGATCTAAAAAGGAAGTTGTAGCCCTGTAATCAACATTCTTTTCTAATTGGTCTAAAAAACGAACTCCAAGTGCAGTAGCAATATTGTAAATGCCATATCCACTGAAAGCAGTTATTAAGGCATTAGCCATAGATTTTGAAGTATGCCACTGGCCTAAGATGAATCTTCCAGTCAAATTTTCATTATGGTAGGTTTTAGTTCTCCTGAAGATAGCTTCATCACACACTAGATCAATAACATTTTGTTTAAGCTCTTTAATATACATATTTATTGATTCAAAAACTGCTTCATCACTTTTAGCTTCTGGACCTGGTTTGAGTAATACAACATTTGGTGGTGGAATTCTGCAACCCAATTCAACTTTTGAAGCAATCTCTTTATGAACATCCTGAAAATCAAAATCATTTCCACAAATTCATAAAGGATTTTGAAATACTGCATCTATTGTATTTTTCCACTGGATTTTCCAAATAATTTTAATTCAGAAGTCACTTGCTGATAATTTTGCAAATATGTCTCTACAGGAAATGGGAGATGGAACTGGTAAATTCCTCAAATAACAGCATGTGATGAGCCTTGATTTGCATTGCGAGCATGCAATCCGAGTTTCCTAATTAATAGGTTATTTATAGCTCAACACTAAGGTTGCGGGAGAAACTCCTCCAGAAATCAATCGACAGGTTACACATTAATTGTTTATTAGAGTTTCGGCAGAGTTTCACATTTGGGGTTTTCACCAATCATCAGAGTTTCGACAGGTTACACATTAATTGTTCATTAGAGTTTCGACAGAGTTTC